ATATATTTTTTTTTTTTTATATAACAACGGTCCTGTATGTTCGTTTCAGATACTACTAGCATATCCTCGAGCAGTAATCAGTCTCGCGTATCGGTGACCCCAGGTCCTTCGTCCGTCTCGAGTTCCGGATATCCGGTTAGTCCTGGCGGTGTCATCACGCTAATGGACAGTCCCTCCCCTCCCGGTTCGCCCGCCCCAGCGACCGCCCAGCCTTCGACGAGCCAATCGTCTTGCATGCTGTCCAACGGCAGCGCCGCCGCCGCCCCCAACACGACCAACAACACCTCCGGACAAATGTACAATGCGAACGCCGCGATGCCGTACCTGGATTTGGAGAACGAGGCCAACTCCAGCGGTCATTCGAATTATTATTAATCTCTCTTTCTTTTCTTTTTTTTACTTATTTTGGGAAAAGAACATACAGGCGCCGGCATACAAAAAACAAAAAAGAGAAAAGAAAAAAAGTAAAACAGTTGCTGCAAACTGTTTTCCCCATATAATAAATGTGTAAAAAAAATAAAAAAATAATTAAGGCGAACAAACTGAAGTCTTAAGGATAATTATTTCTATTTCTTGTAAGAAGTAGAAGTAAACTAATTAGTATTAGCTGTTTACACACTTGATGATGAGAATCAAACAGAGCAAGGATGATAATGAAATATGTTTATTAGTTGATATTGAAGATTCTAATTATATTGAATATATTTTATTAATGTCTGTTTAGGGAAGCATATTTCATATGTGAACGTAAGCGAATGCAACATTACGTTGATTGATTCATTCATTTCGTACGTATCTGCATGCGATGATATTGAGATAAATAAATTATCATTCATTCACACACAAATATCGATCGCACTTTATTTGCAATCCTTTCACTAAATACAACATATTCAAAAGTACAATCATCTGCGCCATCTATTCAATTAATTTGACTGAAGCTTTATTCAAATTGATGATAAATTTCTATTTTATAATTTTTGTTGTTTTTATTTGAAATAATCAAAATCGACTTTCTTAAAGTTATTCAAAACACGTTTTTCCATTTATTTTACTAATATTTATATCCAACATTAGAGGAGGTCCGAAACTACCTAGGAAAAAGGGATTTAAAAGCAGACAAACAAACAAGATTTCCAATATATCCAATTTTACAGTTATCTAATTTATCATGCTTCGGTTTAAGTTTGAATCTATCGTTGTTTCGTACAGATGTCGCACTTGTCAACAATTCATGGATTACACGAAATTAAATTTGATTTAGTTTTATTTTGAATAAATAATCCAAAGAATTCATAAATATATATTTACAATACTATAAATAATAAAAGAAAATACGATATAAACTATTGAATTCTCTTGAAGTTAAAAATATATACATTTATTGTATTTAATTTATTTCAAAAAAAAAACAATATTAATTGCTTTAAAATTTCTCATGTTAAACAATAATGTTAAGCAAAGTTCCAGGCTGCAAATTGTTTACAAATTGACATGGTTTGTACCAATAATAATTCTAACTTCAAACTGGAATAGTTAATACAAAAAAATACCAGAAATTACTTATGAATACAATCAATTTCGAATTATTAAAATAAAAACCATACACTGAAAAACGCAAATCGAATAATATCAATAAATATTACAAAAAAAAACAAATTTTGTATATGATACAAATGTCCATTAAATAAGTTCCGAAACAAGATTTTACTTAGTTATTAAAATAATGCAAATTGTGGACAAGATATGCATATTATGTATTAAGCGTTAATGCATATATGAAATATCATTTCGTTTTGAATTTAATCAAAAAAAAAATTAGTCCTTTTTGGAACAAACTTCATGCTATTCAAAGTTTGATAAATATGTAAAATATATTTGCAACAAAAATCTATTTATTTCTATACATCTATAAATATTTTTTTACTTACTTTGACATAATGTTATGTGACATCCAAACGTGGTCGTCGATCTTCAGCCAATCACCAGCCAATACGCGATGGTTTCGTGCCATTATTGGTTAGAAGAGCGGAAATTGGACGGAAGATGAAAACAACAAGAATCCAATGAGCATTGAAATATCGCGCGTTTCCGTCTGCCCGCAGGTGTGGAAACATTTAACTAAACCTCATTTCCTTGAGGATGTCGTCTGCTAGCCAATACTAATAAGAACTCTAATAACTTATTAGTAATAAGGATGCAACGAAAATAGAAATGTTTCGGTTTCGTTGTATAAATACTTGAGAAATATCTCGAGAAATAAATAGCATTTTATGATTTTGAAACTGAAAACTTTAATTATTAAAAAAAAAAAACAATCAAAACAAGTTTGACCCAAAATAACGTTGATTCCTTCCTTTATGAGATAATTTTATTTTACAATTGAATTTCTATAGTTACAGATTGTAATGAAAGTGTCGTCTTTGTCATTGAAAAATTATTAATTTGTATTATCAAACTATACTTGAAATTGTTTATAATATATGCATGCATAAACAAAGTAAGTAAACTTGAGTTAAGTTCACCTTTTACGAGACAATGATTGTTTCAAATATTGTGATATTATCAATATTTGTAGGATAAAGCCGGAAGAAAGTAATAGCTTCTGAAAATCTATAATTATAGTAGATTCTGTTAAGTTATAGTTAACAGGAGTTTTTAGTTGCCACTGAAAAATGATTATATTGTGTTACAAAACTTGATTAAATTGATCAAGAATATAAATTAGCTATCAAAGTTCGTGTAGTGCAGTTATTAGCGCTGGATGAGGTCCATAACTCTTCGGATTCGGTTGGGGGTTGTAGGAGAGTAGTAAAAGTTGGTTAGGCCCTCTTCGCGGTGGCGTCGCGGTCGTGGTATTACACCGAACTGCTGCTGACTATGCCCCAAGCCGACAAACAACATTTATCACATTAGATAATGTATATTTATTCTCTCGCAGACTCCTACCTCCTCGACTACCCCTAAACGCTTTTGCAGCAAAAGTCCGACGTCTGAATGCAGACGCTCGCACACACATACAGCAGGCCTTAATAAATGTCTTTGACTAGACTAGACTTTGGGTTAAATTACCCGGCATTACCGCGTTTTCACAAACAGGTGAAAAATCGGAGCGATTTATTACGATCTCATTCCGCGCCATTCGTATCACCCTCTTTATTATCCTACCACCACCGACGCAAACACCTCCCAACCCCCTCGTATCGTTGCACCGCCGCGACATGACTTCAGATCGACCTCTTCAACCAACCACCAACAACCCCCCCAAACGAAATCAAACACAGCAATGACCCTAATCCACTCTATTTCATTTATCTCAAACACTTACTTTTAACAATTTCGTCTGGAGTGTAAATAATCGTATAAAATCAACTTCGTCTCCTGCATTCTCTCTCTCTGTTCTCCGATGGACGAGATTAACTACTGACCAAGCCGGTTCAGCAAAAAGAACAATCCATCTAATAACAAATAATAATCACATCTACACTCATTATTCTCTTTACAAACTTCAAACATTGTAAAAATAATACTTTTTAACTACGCTTGATTGTTAAACAGAGGATCTAAACTAAAATTGAAAATTAAAAGAAAACTATCAAGTTTATTTTATAAACTTTATATAAGAAAGTGAATTTTAGTTTAGTAAAAAAGTAGAATTAGAAAGAAATGTGATTGTACTTTTTTTTTGCCTATAAAATGTGTACTTATTATTTCATATTTAGAATCTTATTTTTCTGGAATAATTCATGTTAGTTAGATAATACTAAATAATACTAAACTAAAATTGAAAAGAAAACTATCAAGTTTATTTTATAAACTTTCTATTAAAAAAATATATATTTGTGCCTCCAGAATAATTTAGAAATTGTTGTCTAGGACAACGTGAATTTCTGTTGTATAAAAGTAGAATCAAAAAAAAAATGCGATTCTACTTTTTTTTGCCTATAAAATGTGTACTTATTATTTCATATTTAGAATCTTATTTTTCTAGTTAGTTCATGCGGGATTACAAATTTTGAGTTTAGTGCTCCAAGTGAGATTTAACAAGATTCACTGTTCCGTATGAAAAGTTTGCTAATTTTAAAGTTTGAATTTTAAAATGTGAATTTGCTCAGAGAACGTTATTGATTTACGAATCGAAAACCTATAATTTTGTGCAAATACAGTAGCAATTAGTTAAATTTGTTTTGAGCTTTTGTCACAATCATTGCTATTGCCATGTATTCAATAAATTAACAGCCTTTTTTTTCTTGTATAATTCATATAAACTAATTAAGTGGTAATAACATTCTCAATATATTGATACTTGTTTATAAGTCTACTTGATAACATTGAAACAATGCAACTGAATATATATCATACAGAAAATTTCTTTAAACATGTAACTAAGTAAGAAATGAGACGAACGGTTGAAACATATTTTACGTGAAAATTACATTATTGATGATTACTTGAAGATTTGATAGAAATGTACATACTAGAACAAAAAAAAAACCTTTATCGTAAAAAATAATACTAAATAATACTAAACTAAAATTGAAAAGAAAACTATCAAGTTTATTTTATAAACTTTCTATTAAAAAAATATATATATGTGCCTCCAGAATAATTTAGAAATTGTTGTCTAGGACAACGTGAATTTCTGTTGTATAAAAGTAGAATCAGAATCAAAAAATGCGATTCTACTTTTTTTTTGCCTATAAAATGTGTACTTATTATTTCATATTTAGAATCTTATTTTTCTAGTTAGTTCATGCGGGATTACAAATTTTGAGTTTAGTGCTCCAAGTGAGATTTAACAAGATTCACTGTTCCGTATGAAAAGTTTGCTAATTTTGAAGTTTGAATTTTAAAATGTGAATTTGTTCAGAGAACGTCAATTACATTATTGATTTACGAATCGAAAACTTACAATTTTGTGCAAATACTGTAGCAATTAATTAAATTTATTTTGAGCTTTTGTCACAATCATTGCTATTGCCGTGTATTCAATAAATGAACAGCCTTTTTTTTCTTGTATAATTCATATAAACTAATTAAGTGGTAATAACATTCTCAATATATTGACACTTGTTTACTAAGTCTACTTGATAACATTGAAACAATGCAACTGAATATATATCATACAGAAAATTTCTTTAAATATGTAAACTAAGTAAGAAATGGGACAAACGGTTGAAACATATTTTACGTGAAAATTACATTATTGATGATTACTTGAAGATTTGATAGAAATATACATACTAGAACAAAAAATCTAAATTCATAACTGAGAAAAGAAAAGGATTGATGATAAAATGGATGAAATTGAATTGAATGACCAAGCAATGAAAATAAAATAAAAGAAGCAATTTAAGTTGATTGTCGTTGTTATTTAGATTAATTTACAAATATTTATTTTTACAAAAGGTAAAAGAAACGGAAAAAGAGAGAGACAGAGAGAAGTT